CTATCTATCTATCTATCTATCTATCTATCTATCTATCTATCTATCTATCTACCTACCTACCTACCTACCTACCTATGTGTGTGTAATGCTTGTAATAGCCTCTTTCCTACTCAGCACACATAGTAGTTAGGTTTGCAGTGTGTGGGCTTTCCCCCTTTTCTAACAATGCTACATTACACGAAAATTTTGTACAATCCCATCGGCATGATTTGGGGGTAAAGAGGCCACAGGGAAGGGGGTTGATTATTTCCCCATTCCTGCTCTGAACCAAGAGCCAGCCAAGAGCTCGGAGAGCAGCAGCTACCCCGCAGCCCGGAGAGACGTGTTTACAGCAAATTTTCCCATTTCCGATTCCTGCTGGTTCCAGTTGTAGTCCAAACCGACAGGCTCAGGGCACGTCATCTTGCCTTATCTATGGATCTTTCTCTGCAGATCATCGAACAGCTAAAATTAGTCCCACTGAGTCAGGAGTACGTGGAAGAACGAGTCGCAGCCTTCAGGCATTTCAGCGATGAAGTAAGCAAGTGGCGCTTTCTTGTCCCTTCCCAGTCTCTGTTTGAATGAGGCATAACGTCGGAGTTCTTGGATTGTGGAAATGATGACCGCTACTACTGCCTAGTTTTGTTACTTAACAGCATGCAAAAAAAGGGGGGAAAAAGGCTTTGAACCTGAGACCTGCCAGGCTCAAAATCAGTTGTGATCATACCAGCAATGTCCCATTGCGATTTCTAGGCGCAAAATTGGTTCAGGATAGATTTTAAAATATCAATCAATCAATAACATCTGCATGACAACCCTTCTGTTAAAATGGGAAGAGCGGTTTCTTGGGGAGCATTTTGAACTCAAGGAAGCATTTTTGAGTTTTCGGCTTGCCCTCTGCCGTTCTCAAGGTCATGCAGTTCACCACTGTCATATTGGCTACAAAGGGAAATTTGGCGACAGGAAAGCTATTTGGGGGTCAAACTGCAAATTAAAATATTTGGGGAGGGTGTGGGGTCACCAATCAACCTCTCAAACTTTTAGAAGGCAGCAGAAGTAATAGTAAGGTGGAGATCTCGTTGGAGGGCAATTCGTTTGAATTGTTCATCCCCCCCCACCCCTTTTGGGGGGGAAAAGTTAATGAATACATACTGCTTTTATTCCCATTCTTAAAGCCCCGTAAAATTGATCCAGGAAATTGCAACGCTGCACCTTTGGGAGAAATCGGTTTGTTAAGGGGCGAAAGGAAGTAGGAGGCCAGAATTGGCATGATTTCAGGGTTCAGCAGACCTATTCTGACCTAGGCTTCCCCAACAGCATGAACCCATCTCCTCGTCCTGATAAACTCCTTTTATTTAGTTTACAGTGAATTCCTCTCCAGCAAAGTTCCGGCCAACATTTCACAATTACAGACCTTTATCAGACTTGGAGAGTTGCCAGGCCGATATCTTTCAGGTGCCACACTGTAGCAGACAATACTTGGCAAGAATGCAGGAACAGATTCTTCACCCAAATGAACGAATTGTCTCCTGCAAAACCCCACTCCCCCTTTTGCTCCTCTTTTATTCCCTCTGGGAGGGGCCATTCACCATCTATCTGTGGCTTTACTCCCAAGTCGACCCTTGTTCCTCAGCTGTTCCCTTCTTCTGGCAGCTCTGCACATGTGCACACTGGGAACAGGCTCCAGGTGTTCTTCTGCCTCACTGATGTCCGATTCCAAAGGCAGCTGATAACTGTCAGACGGCCTTAGCCTCATCTCTGCCTCCAATGCAGAGCTCTCATCAGAGCCTTCCCTAGACTCCAGGACTGGCTCCCATTCCTCCCCAACCTCCTCACTGTCCTAATCTGCTGCCAGCTCTGCTGACCACCGGCGGGCCACAACAAGGCCATCTGAAGCCGACAGATTGACCCCTGGCCATCAACTGTAACTCAGAATCTCGCACACATGAATCCCCCCATTCCTGAAGTAGTTGGTACCAAAGGAGAACAATTTGAGGTCCACCTCAACGATCTCTCTAGAGTCAACCAGTATGGCCTTCAACTCTCATTTCTTTTTTTCTTTCACTCTGCTCGTCTTTTCTTCCCCTCTTACTTTTCTTAGATCAGGCACAATTTGTCAGAGGTCCTCCTTGCCACGATGAATATCTTGTTTACCCAGTATAAGAGGTTGAAATGTGCCAGCCCAGCCACGCCTGCTAGGCCCACCCGGGTCATTGAGGACCGAGATTCGGTAAGTTTTTTTCCCTTAGCAGACAAGGTCACCTTTTCAGTGCTGCAGTGACCCATCTTCACAGCAGTGGTTATAAAAATCTACTGTTCGCTGCTGTACAAACCTGGCCTTTGCAATTATTTGACGAGAGAAACTTCTTCCGCTGAGGAGAATGAGGACAAGAAAGATTTGCCCGAGGCTATCCTAGAAATTAATAGCTAGGAAGAAATTTGGAGTCTGATGACTAGATGATCCCTACCTTCTTTCTGTGGATAAATTTTCTCCACGGGAGAGGTGTGCTTTGAATATTTCTCACCACATGCATTTGAATGCATGCACGCACACGCAGACGGACAAGCACGAGAAGTGAAACGTCTTTAAGGAAAAAAAGAAGCCCACATGCCTCTAGAAAAAGGACCTTTGGGATAACCATGACCTGGAGCAGGGGTCTCCAACCTTGGCAACTTTTAAGACTTGTGGACTTCAACTCCCAACTCTGGGAGTTGAAGTCCACAAGTCTTAAAGTTGCCAAGGTTGAAGACCCCTGACCTGGAGGGGACTGAGAATCTCTTCAGACTTCCGTTTTCATTTTTTTTTTTGTATTGTTGCTTTTATTGCTTTTGTTTGTGGTACTGTGACCGTAATAAAGATGGTTGTTGTAAAATATATATATAAAAAAAGGGGGATGTTTCGCTTCTCGTCCAAGAACTTTCTTCAGAACTGAACAAGGTTCAAATAAATCCATTGACCTGTTAGCTTGCCACCTATCTGGCCTTACTTCTGATGGACCTTAAATACAGATGGGTCAGAATGCGAAAGACCAGGTCCACATGTGAAGGTCCAGTTAAACAGATTTATTGCTACTCATGGCCTTATGCACAGAAATATTCTCAACTAACAGCTAGCACTTGCTTGGAGTTAGAGAAGGATCAATGGAACTCAAGGGAAGTTGGACTTAGTCCACTTGTGGCTATTCCTCTTTTAACTCCACCCCAGCTTCTGCCACATTTTCTCCTACAAGATGAGATTTTTGTTCCTTTCTACTGAGCCTATCCCAAGCTATCGTTCTCTCTCCAAACCTGCTTGGAGTTAGAGAAGGTTCCATGGAATTCAAGGGAAGTTAGACTTCGTTCACTTGTGGCTATGTAGGGATTCTAGGCTGATTCCTCTTTTAACTCCACCCCAGGTTCTGCCTTTCTTAAAACAGGGCTGTCAAACTCGCAGCCTGTGGGCTGGATGCCTCATGCTCTGACCACCCGCCCATGCCCGGTTTAGCAATGGGGGGGGAAAGTTGTGATATGTCACATGACAATGCTGTGATGACGTGAGTTTGACACCCCTATCCTACAACATAAGATTTTTGTTTTTTCATAATGAGCCTATCCCAAGCTATCGTTCTCTCTCCAAACCTGCTTGGAGTTAGACACGGGTCCATGGAATTCAAGGGAAGTTAGACTTCGTTCACTTGTGGCTATGTAGGGATTCTAGGCTGATTCCTCGTTTAACTCCACCCCAGGTTCTTTCTCCTATAAGATGAGTTTTTTGTTCCTTTCTAATGAGACCATCCCTCGTTCTCTTTCTCTCTCCAGACCTGGCTAATTTCTTTTTTCTTTTGATGCCCCTTAGCAACTCCGATCTCAAGCTCGGGCACTCATCACCTTTGCCGGAATGATCCCCTACAGAACGTCAGGGGACACCAACGCCCGTCTAGTACAGATGGAGGTTCTCATGAACTAGCTGGGCGGGGAAGCCAGCTAGCAGTGGAGGTTCTTTTGTGTACACATTGAAAGGGTGATGGTTATGGGCCTCCAGTTTAATTTTTGTTTGTTTTCCTTTTCTTTTTCCTTTTCTTTCTTTCTTTTTTTTTTTGTATGCGTTTTTTGTCGACCACAATAAATTTCTTTGGATTTACACATTTGTTTCATTGATACCTTATTTTATATTGCACATTTTTTTCTTATGTTCTCTCATTTATTTGTTTCGCTTTTCAAACTCTTTCTTCTTTTGGAGGAAAATGGGAGAAGGTCTTTTTAAGTTATGACCAGGTCCTATGTCCTTATTTTACTCCCAGGAATATTCATAGACCCTTGTCACTGTTTGCCCCCGTTCCAGGTCATTGACAGTCGACTGTTGTTTGTCAAATTCAACCCAATGTAATGTACATAATGGTTGGGTTGGCCCAACCCTTTCGACTACATGGATAATTTATGGATGAATGTGTGATGGAAAGAGAGCAACTGCCTTAGCATATTTGGGGGCACCAGACTCTTAAATTTTTTGTCATTTTTCTTTCTTCTGAATGGCTCAAAGCCCTCTGGATAAGACCAACATTGTGAAGAAGATAGAATTTTCAATCTGTTTTTTGGGGAGTATAATTTCCTCTGTGCGTCCTTTACAAAACATACGAAGGAAAAGTATACTAGATTTATTCATTGTTGGCTGTTGAATTTCAGGATGATCCTGGGGTGTGGGAGAGTTGTGATATATCAGTATGATTGAAAACAATTGGCCAGGGTTGCTGGGAGTCAGTGGCACATAATTCATAATAATAAGAATAAATCTCAGATTCTATCCAATGAAACACTTTTCCAATCAGGTTGGGAGCAAAGCAAGCAGAACTGGGACTAAATCTTTAACTGGTATAACAGTTACTAAGTTAAAAATGCTATTTGATTAGTTAACGGTAAAGAATGGGAATGAAATGCTACTATACATTTGGAATAAGTAGAGAATAGTTAACTTGTAGTGCCTCTTTAGAATGTAGTTTTCCCTATGGATTTCACAGTTTAGACTGCCACAAAGAAGCATAATATCACTATTAAAAGAATCAGTTTTTTAAAAACGTAAGTAATACTGAGTATCACTTTCCTTTAATTGTCATATTAATTATTCCCAGATGTAAACCCTGTACAACAATATAGAGATGTGATTCTTAGAATGAAGGATTATTTCTAGGTTAACTCTAATTTTGAGTGAACTTTCATGGCCAGGAAGAAATAATTCGCAAATAAATATATGCATGCAGAAAAGGGGAAACTGTACAGCCATGAACTGACTTTGGGGGGAGGGGGCTCAATGGATTTCCCTCCCCCCTTATTTTAGTCTGTTGTCCCCCAACTATGTCGAACGCCAACTTAAGAGAATTTCCTGCCAGCTTGTCCAATTCAGTTGGAAATCATTGTTGGGGGAAGGTGTGTTGAAGCATTTATGTTGCATCAAGAGAAAGAAGGAAAGGAAATGTTCACGATCGTCTCCTCCTCTCTGGAAATTTAAATATTGAGAGCTTAGGAGTATTTATTTTCCATTATTCACTAGTAAATTGGTTAAAAAATAAGCGATCTGTGCAAATGAGATCTTCTCATTGATGGTTCTTGGCTTTAGGATCTGATAGGTCAATAATAGGTGAGAGCAATCAACCAACGGAATAGAAGTTGCCCTCGGAAGTTGTGGGAGCGCCATCACTGGAGACCTTCAAGAAGAGATTGGACTGCCATTAAATGGTGTAGGGTCTCCTGCTTGGGCGGGGGATTCGATTAGATGACCTACAAGGTCCTTTCCAACTCTGATTATCTGTTATCTGTCAAGGTAGCAGTTTATCTGTTCTCTTTCTGTTGTTTCCCCAAGATTCTTAGGGTTAAAAGGGACCTTGGAGGTCCTGTAGTCCAACCCTAAGACCCAGAGAGGAATCTAGCTTTGCCTAGGGAGTTTTGTGCAGCCGATGAATAAACCCATCCTAGGGAAATGCTTGATTGTGTGTGTGTGTGTGTGTGTGTGTGTGTGTTTTTTTCATGTGATTTATCTTGAAACAAGCTCAGTTCTTCAAAGCGGATGAGAAGCCAGAAGCTCCAGGCTGACGTCCTGGTATTGTTGCTGCAGCTGGTGTTGTGAATCAGGCCGACAAAAAGTGCATCTTACTATCCGGCTATTTCACTACACCAGGGTCGCATCATACCACTTGCACAACCCGTCGCCGACATGCAGATGATTCTCTCCGAAGCCGCCTCTGAGTCCTGGAATCAGAGCAGCCGTTGCTTCCTTCCTCTTCTGAATCCGAAGACGTCGATGGCGTTTAGATCGGTCCAGATTTTGCTGAATGGGTGGCCAAGAAAGCTCCATTGCATCTCCATCCTTCGTGCAGAAGAATGCCTCCCGAACGAGGGGATCTCTTAACTTAGAATGCATTTCACAAAAACAGTGGCTTTGCACGTCTTAGATAATTGGGGTGGGAAACCAGTGAGAAAGAAAATGGAGGGGCTCCGTTGTTGCTTTTTTCAATGTATTTGTTTGTTTATTAAATTTATTTGCCTCCTATCTCGTAATGAAATGAACTCTGGGCAGCTTACTGCATTAAAATATTAAAGTCCTAACACTAAAGATCTCCAAAAGAATCAAAGTGAGAATCCCAATCAAGACAAAATTGCGTTAAAAGGTTTGTCGAAAAACTGATCTTCGGAATGCACGGTTGGTTTATGGAATGTGGGCCATTTGGTAGTGGAGTGTTTGTTATTTTTTCCCCGAAAAACTCAATGCTTTTGGGGGGTAGGTCATGTTTTGAAGTGTATGTCGATGGCTTGGAAACTTAGGAGGAAAAATGGAAACGGGATATTTCATGTTATAATTGCAAGTAAATGCATAAAAAAAAAATAAAGCTACAAAACTAGAAGGATATTCATGCTCTGCCATGCATGCGTGGTCTAAAAAAGTTTCTATGTTTGAATGGTGATACAGGAACTGAATGGGCAAAGTCGTTCCCCACAAGAGGTTTTGAGTTCTCCAAAAAGCTGGGTCTTTGCATAGCGTGTTAAGAAGTAGGATTATTTGACCCTGGCCATTTGAATCTTGAGTGAAAATTCTGAGTTAAATTTGTTTTTCCCTGAAGATGTTTCACTTCACTGAAGAACTGAAGAAGCTTCTTAAGTGAGGAGTAAAACTTCTTCAGGAAAAAACAACATCCAGTTGCCTTTTGAAAAAGCATTTTTGGGACAACCATGACTGAGAATTTCCATAGATGTTGTTTAATGATCCTTTGGCTTTTCTTGGCTCTCCACAATATACTCTGGAGAGAGAAAAGGCTGGCTATAATTTTGCAGATCTAGAATAGCTTTCATCAACTGGACAACCTCCAGAATGGTTAGAATTTGAAGTACTTAATTTTTTGGAGGATGATCTGTTTTGGGGTTTGTTTGTTTTTTCACATTTGAAGAGGAGAAGAGAGCCGTGCCTTCAATAGCAGTTACCAGAGCCGACGATTCAAAACAAAAACCCACTACAATGCAGTGGCTAAAAATAAATCTTAATTTATTGTGCGCTCGCCAAATCACCCTTCGCAGCCCAGCCGAAAAATGGCTCGGTTTTGCACTGGCTGGCGAAAAAGAGCAGCAGTCCTGGCTTCCAAACGTTTCCCCCCCAGCTCATTATCTATCTAAGCTTGAAAGTTGCTAAGTGACTTGGCAAATTGCCTGTAGCAATCAGCCTAATTCAATATTTTGAATATAGGGAGTACTTAACTCCCAACATGTTTTCCAACTGTGAGCGGATATTTGTACGATGACATTTATAGTCATCCCTCTGGTGTCTGTGAGTCTCTCCACTTCTATCTGATCCTCCCCACACTTTTGTGAGGTTGCCTGGGATGAGTGACTTTCCCAAAGTCATCCAAGGAACTAAAGGGACACTGAATCCACCCTGGATCTTAGGAGGTCCATTAAACCAACATTATTTTTTTAAAGTAAAGTTTTCCATTGCCGCTGGAGTGGACCAGAAGGGATAAAATAAATCATGAGATCATAAGAGAAAAAATTGATATAGAACCAATCTTAAACTATATACAAAAACAGCAAGTAAAGACGTTTGCTCAGCTGGGGAGAATGTTTTGGGTTCCTATATCATACAAGGCATACACAAAAAGAGGAGAAGGTCAAAGAACATGAGGCAGATCCAGAAGAAAATGGAGAGAGAGCCTCAAAGACACAATACAACATCCAGTAACAAGGGTTGAGGCCACCAGAAGTGCAAAAACCAAAACTTTATGGAGTGTATATTAGAAGTGAAGACCCCTTGAGAGTTGTATTGCAATGAAATTTCATTTTAATTATCATATCATATCCCCACCCCGATTTTAATAACTTTTAAAATAGCAATAGCACTTAGATTTATATACCGCTTCACAGTGCTTTACAGCCCTCTCTAAAAAATTTACAGAGTCAGCCTCTTGCCCCCAACAATCTGGGTCCTCATTTTACCCACCTGGGAAGGATGGAGGGCTGAGTCAACCTTGAGTTGGTCAGGATTGAACTGCTGACAGTTGGCAGAATTAGCTTGCAATACTGCATTCTAAGGAAGGAAGGAAGGAAGGAAGGGCAATAGCAATAGCACTTAAAATTTATATACCACTTCACAGTGCTTTACAACTTTCTCTAAGCTGTTTAACAGAGTCAATGTATTGCCCCCAACAATCTGTCTTCATTTTACCCACCTCGGAAGGATGCAAGGCTGAGTCAGCCTTGAGCCTGGTGAGATTCGAACTGCTAAATTGCAGGCAGCCGGCAGGCAGCAGAAGTGTGCTCTCCCCCTCCCCACAAATGCAAGGATTTAAGAAAGAAAAATATCAAATGTCGGCTCCTAGTACTTGACATTCAAAAATGCCACTCTAGCCTCCCTAAACTTTGAAAATTACTGTGTCAGCAGCTACAGCTCAGTGCTTTTCTGGGACAAAGGTTGGAAGGATCAAAGTAAACTGACTTTCGAGCAAATTCTCTTTCTACCTCACCTTTTCCCCTGCGTGGCAAGAAACTTTAAATGGGACCCCCAGCCAGAGAAGGACAAATGGCTATGCATTCATCATTTTGTCTGGCAAGCTGATTTGATTTTAGATGAATTTGATTTTGGTTCACGCAGAATGCCCCATCTCTTCTCTCTACAACCAAAGACAGGCCTTCCCACTGTTATACAGATCCTACCATCAGGAGGTTTTTTTTTCCTTCTGTATAAAGAGACTCCCATAAGCTTTATTTCTGATCTCAGTTCCCATAATTATGGAAAGCTGTTCCTGAGCTTTTACCTACCACCCTCATTTACCTATGTGCTTGAAAACTGAAATCATGTACGTGTTGATCTGTATCCCACTTTTATTTTTTACATATAACTGAAGGCGGGGAACATATCCAACTTAGTTACCTCCTCCTATTCCCCCCCCCCAACAACAACCCTATGAGGTAGGTTGGACTGAGAGGGGGGGGGGCGATCAGCTCAAGGTCACCTGGCTTGCTTTCATGGATCAGGTAGGACTACAATTCCCTGTTTCCTGGTGATTGGCTCAAAGTCACCTAGCCGGCTTTCTTGCCTAAGGAGGGGGGGGTACTAGAACTCACAGTCTCCTGGTGATAGGCCCAAAGTCACCTAGCTGCTTTTCATCGATAAGACCAGACTAGAACTCACAGTGTAGAATAGAATAACAGAGTTGGAAGGGACCTTGGAGGTCTTCTAGTCCAACCCCTTGCTTAGGCAGGAAACCCTACACCACTTCAGATAAATGGTTATCCAACATCTTCTTAAAAACTTCCAGTGTTGGGGCATTCACAACTTCTGGAGGCAGGTAGTTCCACTGGTTAATTGTTCTCACTGTCAGAAAATTTCTCCTTAGTTGTAGGTTGCTTCTCTCCTTGATGAGTTTCCACTCGTTGCTTCTTGTCCTGCCCTCAGATGCTTTGGAGAATAGCTTGACTCCCTCTTCTTTGGGGCAGCCCCCGAGATACTGGAACACTGCTATCCTGTCACCCCTAGTCCTTCTTTTCATCGTCCACATTTTATCCTGGTGCCTTAGCCACTAGACCAAACTGCTTCTCCTGTGTTCTCCTGGTCTTCCTTTTCTTCAGACTGAACATCTTCATCTCCCCATATTTTCACTCTTCAGGAACTATGCCATTCCATGGCCTGTTGGCTAGAACTGGGTTATCATAGAGATAACAGGGTAATTTTTCTTTAAATGCAGTGGTTATTGATTATAGGAAAGGGAAGATACTAATCTGGAAAACAGATCATCCTGACAGACACTGGTGCTTTCGACTTTGTGTACGCATGCAAACCTTTAGCTTTCACTGACTTTCTTTGCTACGTGTAATCCTTGACTTACAGCCACTCATTTAGTGACCGAACTTACAACGACACTGGAAAAAGTGACTTATGACCATCCCTGTGGTCACATGATCAAAATTCGGACCCTTGGCCTATGATCATCTTTAACAACCTTCCGACAAGCCAAATCCACGGGGAAGAAAGATTCACTTAGCAACCGTGTTACAAACTTAACAAATGCAGTGGTTCACTTAACAACCGTGGCAAGGGAGGTGCTACAATGGGGCAAAAGTCACTTACCCACTGTCTTGCTTAGCGATGGAACTTTTAGGCTCCATTTTGGTCGTAAGTCGAGAACTACTTGTATCATAAGTTTCCTAACCAAATATAGTTTAGGAAAAATCAGAGGCACGTTAGACTCGTTCTCAAAACAAGCAATAAAGCTGAGCTCCAATTCCTTCCCATCTATTGTCTGACCTAATCTATATCTATAAAAGCGAAAGTCCACTCACACGTCATCACAAAATCTCCAGAACCGTAAAGCCTACAAACTTGAAATTTGGCACATATGTTCCTCTTGGCTTCTAGATGCTCACAAAGAAAGGATTTTTTGAAATGACCATCGGAGCATTAGTATTTCGTATAGTATTATTATTAACATGCTCTGATGCTAAAGGGTTCTACTCCCCCTCCCCACCTGAAAAGAATTCTGTTCCAAATGCAAAACACAAACAGAGGAGAGGAGTTTCAATTTCAATTTTAGTTTCATAGCAGCAAGCAGCTTTAGTACAGAACAGTTGAGCTAAGCCACGCCCAGGCTCCTTGCTGTCTCCTTGCTCACACAGCAAATACTCTTTCAGTTTCCAAACAGCCCTCAACTCTCACACACTGACTGACAGGACGCTAGCCAGATGAATACTGATGGATGCTGGTAGGCAGAGGCAGAATTGCCCTTATTTTCCTCCCCAAACCTAAGCCCAATCACATGGTTTCGTCGCAAAGCACGGGTATCGAGCTAGTAATCAGTGCCCCAATTCCTTCCTAGCTTTTGTCTGACCTAATTAGGAGATAAGGGAAACTTAATGTAC